GCCGGTACGAGCCGGGGGACACACCGGGGTCCCGGGCAGGTCCCGGTACGAGCAGGGGGACACACCGGGGTCCCGGGCAGGTCCCGGTACGAGCCGGGGGGACACACCGGGGGTCCCGGCCCGGGCTGGTCTCGGTGGAAAAGCCGGTTCCGCAGCAGCGCCAACACACGACACGGTAACGAGGCGGGGGATCAGAGAACAAACTCTTTAAGGACTGGTCCCCTCGGTGCGGGCGGCCGCGCTGCAGCCTCACTGCCCGTCCGCTGGCGTCTCGGAAATCCTGTCTATGGATTTCAGGAGGTCGGCGACGAGCTCCAGGGATTCCGCTCCCGAGAGGAGCTGCCTGGAATGCGGAGGGAGCAGCGTCAGGCTGAGGAGCAGGGGGAGGAGCCGGCAGGGCCTGGGGGTGCCGAGCCCTGCACCTGAAAACTTCTTCACTGCAGTGTGAGAGTCTTGGAGGAGCGTGAGAGGCTGAGAGTGTCTTGAATAGAATGGTTTGGCATTCAGGAAAAGAGATAAGAGTTCCACGTTATAGTTATTTTTATGAACTAAACTGGGAAGAAAATACGTTGCAGGTAGGTGAGAACATGGACTAACTGGTGAACAGAACACCAGCATTTGAGTTTCAATCCTAAAACCACCAGTGGGGCATTTGGTGATGAGCTCAGTGTCCAGACAAACACCTGGGAGATCAACCCACCTGAGGGAGGAGCGGGAGCTGGTGATGACAGTGAGAAGGTTCTGCAGGGCCAGGTCTGTGTTCTGCTTCACAGCAGCCAGGCTGGCTGACTGCTCCCTCAGGGCTTCATTCTCTGCCTGGCAATTCTTCAGCTGAACCTGGGGAGGACACAGACAGAGGCTTCACCTCAGGCTCCTCCCCTTCTCTGTCAGGCACGTCCCACAGCTGAGCATCCACCTGCCCTGTCACAGCCCCCAGTGTCACAGCACTGAGCAGCACAGGGACCTCCAGCTGCACTGCAAGTGAAGCACCAGACACCCCAGAGGTGTCAGCCTGTGTAGAGCTGGAATGGATCTTGTTTAGATCACCTGTGGCATTCCCCAGGAGAAGTGCAGTGCCAGGGTGTGTGCTCAGCCCCAGCCCAGCCAGCAGGGCTGCAGGGCACCCTCCCTACCTGCAGCAGAGCATTCTCCTGCTTCAGTTTGCTGGCACTGCTTTCTGCTCTGACAGCCCGTTTCTGGAACAGAAGGAAGATCATTTGTACCATGGCAGGGGTTGGGGACACAGAGGGAAGTGTCAGCTAGGCAGGAAAGCAGGATTCCAGCACAAGGATTTGTTTGCAACTCCTCATGTTCTGAATGGTGCAAACAGGCAAGCAGGAAAAACAGGAGGTGTTTTCACACCTGCAAAAAGGTTTCAAGGCTGCAAAAAAGCAACTGAAGTTGTTGATGAACCTGAGAGTGGTATTTCTGCAAAGACCTCCCTTTCTCTGGGTCATGAAAGGAAGTCTAGACTGGGACACTTGCTACAAGGGCAGAATCCAGACCCATGTCAGAGCTGCTCTGTGCTGACACAGGTGAAGTGACCACTTCAGCTGCCCTCACCCTCCTGGCTGAGGAAAGAAAAGGCACAGAACTACCCAGCTCCAGGGTGAACAAGCTGCTGCTTGGCAAATGCCACCACTCACAGTCATCAGCTGGAGATTCTGTTCCACGTTCTGCACCATGGCTTCCAAATCCTGTGCCTCTTTTTCTTCCTTGATTTGCTTTTCCTCAAGCTTTCTTTCAAGCTTCCTCATCCTTCAAAACGAGGAGACAGTGCTCAGTAAGCACTTGTAACATTAAATACCTCAGTAAGAAAATTCTACAGAAAGATTAAGAAACTCATTCTTTCATGTTCTTAAAAACAAATAATAAACAAAGCCTTCCCACAGAATTACACTTCTAGGCTGTGGCTCAGAGGATTTCTTTGCTCAAAGTCCATTAGCATTAAGGGGAGCTGAATGCAGAAAGGTGGCACAGAAAACACAGCCACCCAGGATAAGGGTAGTTCTGAAACAAACGGTTACACCCCCTCACCATGGAAGCACCAGCACCTCCCTGGGAGGAGCAGCAGAGCACACAGGGTCCAGATGGGAATGGGAAAACCTGCCACCCTAGGTCGACCATGGGGTTGTATTTAACCTCAGGAAATCCCAGTCTCCCAGTATCACTTTGCTCACCAGCAAAAAAATAAAAAAAAGCTTTACTTGCTTCAAAGGAGAGAGATTAAGATTTGATTTGTTATTTTGTTAATCTGGAGCTTGAAATGCATCTTGTCAAGCCCTGCCCTCATTCTCACTAACCACTTTAACCACATGAAGCACAAGCCACACACACACTCATGTCACTTACTTTCCAAGCCTTTTTTCAATAAGAAAACCATGTTTGTTAAAGTTTTTTAGCAAACAGCACAGATTTCAACTACACTTCTCTTCTTTAAAGACCTTGGCTGTTTCCGACAGGCACCTCTTCTAAGAGAACTCCTGGCTTCTGTGGTTACTTTCCCCCACCCTGGGGCTTACTTGTCTGCTTGAGTTTCAGAGAAAATCTGAAGCTTATAGATCTTGCTTCTCAAACTGGCATTCTCTTCTTTTAGCTAAAAAACAAACAGATTAAAGCTCTCATTAGAAACGAGGCT